CTGCAGTGCCAGCTGTGCCCTCCCTGCCCTGGCATCGCAGCCATGAGGGGCCTGCATTGCCAGCTGTGCCCTCCCTGCCTCTGGCCCCTGCTCAAGGACTCATCTCCTCACATTGGTTTTCATTTCTGCAAGGACAGTGAAAAGATCTCTGGGGACTAGGGGAATTTATTTCAGACTAACTTTTAATAAAGGTCTTTGTCTAGGAAAAGCTTGTTCCATTCGTCCATCTTTAGAAATAAGGAAAGATGTCCTGCGGCCAGATTTCCCAAAACCTCTGCATGACCCTGGGTAGGTTGAGGAGTGCTGGGAATGTTCTGCCAGGTGCTGTAGAGTTCATGCTTTGTGGCAGCTTTTTCAGAGAATTTAATCTGCTGGATCTGAGGTGATGGCGTAGATGCAGCACAGAGGGAACTGCCTCTAGGCAGCAGCCACTGCTCAGGGCTGTTGTAAATACAGGGTCAGGAAGGTTCTCTTCAGCTGACAGTCGAGGCTTGATAAAGCTCAGCCCTGAGAATAAAACCAGCTTTGTAGGTTGTTCCTGGTGCAATTTCACTTTTCAGCTTAAAGCCATGAAGTTTATAAGGAATTTAAGGGAAGTGGTGCTTCCTTGTAGAATTTATTACCGTTTGTTATACAGATTTTTGTGAAGCAGCTGGTCCAGCCTTGGTGTGCTCTCCTGGGAGACAGCGGGGCAGAGCACAGGGCCTGGGCTGGCAGCTGAATCTCGAGCAGCTGCAATCCCTTTGCTCAGCTGGGCTCGGGCTGCGCTGGGGAGAGCCGGGCTGGGACGGAGCTGGAGCCAGGCACTGGGGACACTGCCCACTTTTATGAGATGTCAGACACCTCCAGGAGCCAGCTGTGACTGGAATGGTGAGCTGTCCCTGTCCTGCAGAGAACACTCTGTTCCCTTCACCTTGCTGCAGGGAGGGTGAAGCTCACCGGCCGTGCCTCTCCCAGCCTTCCCCTGCCCCGGTGCTGCCAGGGAGGGTTTTGGGCTGTTCCTTTGCTGCTGTTGGCCTGGGCTGGCAGCCAGCTGGGGCTGAAGTCATGAGGACACGGTGAGCAGCCTGGCACCTGCTGCCCAGCCCAGGACCTGTTGGTGACAGTGTGAGAGGTGATGCCCAGGTTCTTGCTCTCAGCATTCCCCATGTTCTAGGAAATACGTTCTGGTTTTTCACTGTTTTATCCTTTGGAGGCCTTTGCCAAGGATGGCACTGCACACAGTGAGCACTGATTCAGGAGGGGAGGATGTCAGGGCCTTGTTTCCCGCTCAGCTGTGGTATGGGATCAAGTGCCATCACTCTACAAGGCTCTCCTGTGGGAAAGGAGGCTGTGCTGTGTGTTTGTGGTGCCCAGAGATGGAAATGGTCCTTTCAGGAGACAGGAAAAGTCTAGGACAGCTTGTAAGGGCTGCATTCCTCTGCCTTTACAGATGTTTTTGCTGTCATGTGCCCTGTTGGCACTCTGGTGGGTTTAGGGGCTTGCTGGGCTCAGGTTCTGCCTGGGTGGAGTAGTTCTGTAAAGAGCAGTGTGTTTGGGGGCTGTTGGTCCTTCTTCCTTCAAATGAGAACCAGCTGGGGGAGAAAGGGCTGGGGCAGAGTGTGGACATGTGAAGGAGGTACTCCCTGAACTGGGATTCAGTGAATTTTGAACAGCATTCTGTTGTGTGGGGCAGAGTCAGCTGTGCTGGTGGCACCTCACTGTCAGATCGTCCCCCAGTTCCTCTGTCCTGCTGCTGGTGCTCATCAGCCCCTGTCCCCACCATTGCCGAGGGGCTGGAGGGGCCCTGGGCCCGCTGTGCCCCACAGCCTGCGGCAGAGCACCCTGTGCTGGGGCTCTTGCTGTGCAGAGGGATCCTGGAGCCCCTCTCTGCAGCTGTCCCACGCTGGGCGCCGTGCCCAGAACAGCGTGTTCTGGTGTGAGCTTTAACCACAGGATTGTGCTTCCTCTTCAACTTCTGCAGAGGTACTTCAGCCAGGCCAGGCCCCGAGGGCGGTGATGGGTTCCTGGGAAAGCTCCTGGGGCCCATAGCCAGCCAGGGACAGGTGAGCTCCTGCCCCACTGCGCTCAGCCCCACGGGCAGTGCCAAAGGCCCCGGCTGCCCCGTGTCAGGGTGAGTGAGCACCCTGTGTTCTCCTTGCGAGCCACTGCCATCAACCCAGCACTGCACTACCCCACTGCCAGCAGGGAAGCTAAAGGCAACTTCTAAATCAACTTTTTATTATTACAAGAATGATAATAAACAGGCTGGTGCCTCCTCCCACCCGAGTCTCTGTGGAGTCGTGTTCTTGGCACACACCATCAGCTGTGCCCACCTGCACTGTGAGTGCTACAAACCCTGGGCAGCAGCACAACAGGGCGCCCAGGGGCTCCAGCAGTGAGGGGAGAGTTCAGTTTCCATTGTAGTTGTTTGGGAATGGAAATTCTGCAGCCTCAGAGGTCAAAAGTAGCTTTGGTCCCATCCCAAGGCTCTGCTCCATGGTATGGCACAGCAGCCAAGAGCACTGGAGAAGGGGGTAGGATGAGAGATTTTTAAGGTCCCTTCCAACACAAACTCTTCTAGGGTGCTGTGATCTACCAGGCCAGGGCCTTGCATCCACTGTGAGGACATCCTGTCCTCTCCCTGCCACCACCCTGCTCTGCTCACTGGAATTGCTTCCCACCCACCTGGTGATGAGAAACAGTGACACGATTTTACAACAATACTGATGTACACAAGCCCTACACACTAAAGCCAAAGCCTGACTCTGTGAGGTTTATTGCAGGGTTTATTGGGCAGAGCTTCCTGCCAGCGATCAGTCATAGGAGAGGGCAGCCTGGGCTTTTCATTCCCTCTGACTTTGGCCAGA